CAGGGGAGCCCTCTTTTATGGGATTCCCCTGGCTTGTAATCACACAATTCCATTGGCTGGTAAGACCCCGTTGCTAGTTAGCCAACCAGCAACGGGCATGAAACTGTATGCAGATGGAGAAGGGCAATCACCCTTAATGGGTGATCAGGATGCGCATAGGGGATTAAGGGGGGGGGGAATACAAAAGAACACAACAGAAACAATGAACAGTCCACTTTTTCTTCATGAGCCTTCTGGAAAAACTAGGATTTTACAGGTTCCCACAATGCTAGAAGAGGCACATTGTCCTGATTTCTGGAAACAGGCTGTTCCAAGAGGGGAAATTTCATTGATAAGGACTGCCCTTTCTGACAATTACAGTCCCTCCGGATATGGACCCATGGTGAGCTCTCTTAATTGTGGCTGGATGAGGCGTTTATACAGAATAGATAATCTAGAGGGCATTCACATCCAGGCTAAAAACAGTTACAGAAATAAGTTGCTGGGAGTTTCATTATAAGCATCCATAGGAGAGCTATAGAAGAGCAAATAACAACTTGTGCAATGACATTCTCATGACAGAATCTCCCAACACAAACACATAATCATTGCCTTGTAATAATTATATCACTACTGCATGTGTGTTGCCATTTTGACATCATCATAATTTACAGTGGACAGCATTGGGCTCTGCTTTTGTATAGTATGTTGTAGGATAGCTGGAGCACCTACAAAATGTCATTTTAAAAACCCAACCTGAGTTTTTGTGCATTTGTGTGCATTTATCACTTAAAGAGCCACAGGTACAAGTAAATAAAACAGTTCTTTATTCTTTTATTAGCATCAACTCCTCGATATCTGACCTACCCTTGTGGCTTCTGGTGACTTTTCCAGATCTAACAATGACTCTAGCGTTCCAAAGGTGCTTTTTGAAGAGGTAACTGAACTTTCTTTGTTTTTCTTTGAAGACATTTCACTTTTCATCCAAGAAGCTTCTTCAGTTTGTCAGGAACTGAAGAAGCTTTTTGGATGAGAAATGAAATATCTTCAATGAAAAACAAAGAAAGTTCAATTGTCTCTTGAAAAAGCACCTTTGGGACAACCATGACCTGGATGAGTGAGAATCTCCATAGGCAACGACTCTAGAGAAATAGCTATCACTCTCTGTAGGTATCTTATAGTAATAATCTACAGTTTGTATACATCTTTACTTTTTTAGGTTCTGCTACCATTAGTTGACCAGTATTTCACCAATCATTGCTTGTACTTCCTCTCTTCCCCAACAAAGCCGCTTGGTAGTAGTGGATATGCTTCCAATAAAGAAAAAGAAATGGTAGCAAGGTATGTAGAAAGAAAACATGTATACAGCAATGTACATTAAATGAATCAGTAATGAAAATAGTTGTGCTTGTATAACAGAAATGTGTCCATAGAGATATTTCTTGATGTACGACCACAATTGGAACACAGACTAAACTATGCAGGCTATAAATAGATCTATTGCAGCTATAGTATAACCAAGGGCATAAAGTCACCTTCTTTTAATTATTAATTACAGGTATGGCACCTAATACCATTTACTAAAATTGGGGGGAGGGATTCTTTTGTTTTCTTGTTTGTAACTCAGTTATGGTAGTCCTGTTTACAGGGCCCAAAATACCATTAAATGCCATATTGATTTCACTTCACTGTATAGT